AAATAAATATTTATGTAATTTTATTGGTATCTATCTTCATTTTGTACATTTACCAGTAGCTGCCTCATTTTCCACCCTAGGCTTATACTCGAGTCAATATTTTTTCCCAGTTCTTTGTGGTAAAATTAGGTACCTCGGCTTATATTCGGGTCGGCTTATACTCGAGTATATACGGTATGTTTTATTCTACGTTCTATAATGGCATTGTATTATTTATTTTTATAAACTTTTAAAAAAAGTTTATATTTATTTTTGTTTATTCATTTTGTATGAAATATTTTTATTTAATACTTTACTTTTAGGGGCTTCGGGGAAATATTGGGAGTCTAAACCCCTGATATTTCCCTTTTAAAATAGAAAAAGAGATTGAGAACACAGAGTCCTCAATCTTTCTTTTTTCTGCATCCCCTGTTATCAATGAACACCAATCCTCTATACTGAGTGTCCCTGTTCATTCATAACATGAGTACATTGTTTACTATAACTACAACTATGAATGGACAGGAGGAGATGTAGATCACTCCCATTCATTCATAATTAGGGATACAGTACACATACAATGTCCTTAATTATCTACAAACACTCAGCGATCGCTGAGTGTTTGCACTTGCTCTCCTCTCTGACACGCTGTCACAGAAGGCTGAGCGAGCGGTGCGGGAGGAGAGCTCCGCCTCCTGTGAAAGCGCGGCCTGTCTCCACCCCCACACCGCTCTGTCGGACTGTGATAGGCTGCTGAGCGGTCTGGGAGGAGAGACACCGGCCGATCACAGCGCTCTCCTCCCGAAAGCTGTCACTTTCTCTCCTCCCCACTGGGACACAGAGCTGTGCCCAGCGGGGAGCAAAGAAAGCAGGGATGCACCGCACTGATGTATCTGCAGGAAAATGACACTTTCGGCATTTAGACAAAAATGCCATTTTCGGCCGGCGCCCCCCCGGTTGTTACGCCACCGACCAGAATATATATTAGTTGGTGGCATTCTGCATTGTGCCACCGTATTATACAATGCAGAATACCATGCACAATACACTACAATGCAGAACACCAGCAGTTATAGAGGAACACCAAATCCCTGCAATAATACATTAAACAGCCTGTATAATGTACTATTGCTGGGATTTGTTGTTCCTCTATAGCTGGTGGTATTCTCCATTGCGATGTATAATGTATTATTGCTGGGATTTGTAGTTCCTCTATAACTGGTCAGTGGTATTCTGCATTGCGCCGTATAATCATTATACAGCGCAATGGAGAATACCACCAGCTATAGAGGACTACAAATCCCAGCAATAATAAATTATACAGCGCAATGCAGAATAACGCCAGCTACAGAGGACCACAAATCCCAGCAATAGTACACTATAGTGTACTATTGCTGCGATTTGTTGTATTCCTCTAAAGCTGCTGGTATTTTGCATTGTGCCGCTTGTATAATGTACTATATTCCACACCACACTTTTTTTTTACTTCCACCGCTCCAAGCTTGCTCCCGTGATGGACTACAATCTCAATACAAGCTAGTAGTCCATCACTGGAGCCTTTTGTTTTTTTTATCCGATTAATCGAACTCAATAATCGGCCAACTAATCGATTTTGAAAAGAATCGTTAGCTGCAGCCCTAGAACCTAGACCTGGCCAACTGAAGCAACCCCAGATCAGAACACTTATCCAATGGAAAGCTCTGACCTATTTGCTTACCTAAATCCAGGTGGTGACTTTTTTCTTGGACAGGCAATGTATATAAAACTTGCTAATAAAAAAAGCCATGGACTTCCTGTACAATCCTCTGTAGAACCTTTTACAGCTTTGCCTGTCTACAAGGAAGAGTGCAATCTACTATCACTGCCAGGCCCATATAACTGCACACTCCAGGACATGTTTTGGTCAGACCCTAATTAACCAACCAGTGTCAAAGGAGAAGGCTCCTACAAAACACATTGCCTGGACTGCCACCATATAGCAACCT